AAGGCAACCCACCTAAATCGGTAATACCCAAAACAACTCAAAACGGCATCACCCAAAACGATAATGCCCAAAACGACAATTACTAATTTTTTTTTATATAATTACTGTATTATAGTATAAAAACTAAATTTTACACTATACCAACGGTAATTTAGAGGTGATCAGTTTAGCTTATAATGGCCCAAAATCTTCATAACCTTCATCCGTGTCAAAACGCGTTCACATGCATTATTTCGGGGGTTTTTGTTTTTTCATCGATCGGTTTAATAAACCAAATCAAGCCAGGTATACATGAACGTTTAATAGGTGCCACAATTATGTAAAGCAAAAATTAACAGAGTCTATTTTGTGAGACTGTTCTAATCAAACAAATATGACCGACAAAAGGCTGCACACTAAACATACATTTTGATGAGATATTTGGATACCTACATCAGACTGAAAACATAATTTTATATGTGAATCAGATCATATGCTTCTCGCTAATTCCTCAAATATTATTAATACATACGTTTGCATTGATTTTATTAGATTGTCTTTTACGAAATGCAAATATCGCTATCTTTTATTGATTCCATATTATATAAACAAATCAGTTCATAATTTATATCAATGCGCAAATAATATATAGGCCTATATTATGCGTTACTAGTTCAATCCTCACTGCTCTCTTTATGTTTCAGCTAGAAGGCCCTGCTTCCCCCCCCCCACCCTTTTTTTTTTTGGAAAGAAAAAAAGAAAGAAAGAAAGAAAGAAAGAAAAGAGGAAGAAAAAGAATAATTGATCGCCCCAAACGCCTTAGAGGTTTTTTTCGGGCGTCTAGAAAACAAAACTGGCATAGTGTTGTCTCGATCAACCCCACTTTCGGCCCCTTTGGCACCCCTCCCCCTCCCCTCTCCTCTTCGGACATCTCTGGATCCGCCCCTGCGGTGCGCCCCGTTTTTTCGCATATGTTGAAGCCGTTGGTTAATACTGCCCATGTATAGATATTTAGGAAACGCAAGTGGGAAATTGTCTCTCGGTGTCTCCTGCCCAATTCAAGGACTCCATACTGAAAACAATTCTTCTGGCTTAATCCTTCCAAACCTAGTTATATAGACGGTTTAGCGTTTATCTCTTTGTTATTATGTCGGTATATACTATTTTAAAAAGTATCTTTTTCGGTATCCTCTTGTTTAATATGCTTTACAGGGACGTAAAATGGTTCCCATCTTGTGGGGGGTGGGGTTGCGAAAATTGTAAATGTAGGATCAGTGGCGTAATGAAGGGGCCGAAGACCCCGAGCCAGGCGCTGGGGGCCAGGGGCCGCAAAGGGCCCCAGGCGGTGTGAGGTGAAGCCCCCAGCCGCTCCTGTGTTTGTAGTACTTTGTGGTGTATTTTACACATTGTTTAATTTCTATTATATTATATAAAAAAATATTAAATAAAGTTTAAAACGTTCATCAAAAGAAGAACAAAAAAAAGTACTCTTTTCTAATTAGGCTTATTACTGTTGCATATTATTGGAAAGATTACACAGAATTATGAAAGTAATTAAAAAAATGATAATGTCGGCGTCATTTGATGTATTTTAAAATCATAACATACAAAACCCAACATTTTGTTTTTTGCTCGTACAGAGTTTGAGGCAAACTTCAATGAAATTTGATAATTCCAACGATCTACCCCTTTTTTCATATTTTCTCCACGTTTTTAAATATTCAAAAATCTATATCTCATTAACCGCTTGTTATCTCATTAACCAATTTTTCGTCAAAAAAGTCTAATAAAAAATATGAAGACGTCTGTATTTCTATTGGCATTCATGTAGGCCTATTTTTTTACCTTAATTTAATTGTTTGTTTTAAAGCTATTCTTTATAAATACGTTTCCGAAATAAAGAAATTAATGTAAAAATTTACTGTACGTTTTTGTGTTTGTCTTGTGTGGGAGCATCCCATCCCACTTTTATTTCACATAATCAGTCATTTTATAAATCAAACATGAAAATCTTAACTAAATACAGTACGATATTGCAACTTGCAATATTTATTTGCCGTGATAATTTTAAATTCAAGCGTTTTTTATTAATTTTTTTTATTGTTATTGTATTTTAAAAGCCTATTCAATTAGAAAGATATAACCTATCTCAATCAATGTTATGCAGTCTAATGCAGTTTTATGTTTTTATGTTTTAAGTTTTATGCAGTCATGAATTTTTTCTCATATCCATAAGCATGCGCAGTAAAGAACTTCGTAGTTAATTATTGAACTGCGTGTAATGAAATTTTGGGCGAATTCGCCTGGAGGAAACAATAGGAAGGAAAGAATATACTGTACCGGACGCTGTACTCTATGTATTTCAATTACTGTAGTGTTTTCACATTTAGGATAAAACAAATGAGCTTATATTTTGTTTTACGAATGCATATCATAGGTTTATATGTGTACTTTTGTTGGCCAAATCGAGTTCTACTTGTTGCCCTGCAAATGTTCCATTGTAGTACTAGGCAGACCTAGGCGTTATAGGCCTACAGCAGCGAAACTTTTTTGCTTTTGGGGGTGGGGGAGGAGGAAGTGCGGCCGCAACTAGCGTTGTTCACGTAGAATGTGTGAAACTAGTTATTTCTAACCGGTACCGGTACGGTTCGAATCACGGTCACACCCGCTATTGAAAGGCAAAATACTGGAAACAACAATACCGTATAAAAGAGATGGCTGGCTCTCGTTTTAAAATAGAAACACATAAGTAACCCCACCAGTACAACCATATACTGTAATATCTTTTGGAAAACACTTTTGCCCGTGCTGTTAACTGTACATATTATCGATTGTCTATTCAATGTTGTATTATGTAGAACTGCCCGGAGAATTAGACCCAAAAAGTGGTCATCTTGCAACTAGAACCCCCGCCCTTTTGATTGGAAGCCCTCCGAATTACACCGCCGTTGCATCACATGCTTTAACACCATGGTAACGATGTCATTGGGTTTTTCAAAAGAGTCAAAATGTTCCCCTTGTGGCTTCAAACGGAAACTCATTAAGTAGTTTAATTGTAGCGAACGATCGTTTGGCAGTATCAAACTTAACACTTCATTGTTTAAACGCGCTTTAACAAATGCTACTTTAAATAGGTTGCTGGATCAATCATCACAATATTTTCACTTAGATCTGAATTCTTAGTAAATTTCACTAAGTGAAACTTAATTGGTTGACTACGTCACTAAGGTGATTGACAGTTGGGCCCAATAATGGATGAACGTACGACATCGTCTATATTGGTATTTGATTGGCTAAAATGGGAAAATGTCTAAAATCTTTGTTGTACATTGGAACTATTTTGGAATGAATTTTCGATATTTTAATCGGGTAGACTTCACAAAAATGCAAAAATATGTGCTAAAAATGTACGACTCTGTTTTGTATATTTTCTTTAAAAATTTGCAGACATTTAGTTCTTCACAATTGCATTTCCTTTTTTATGCAAAATGTTAAAGATGTATTTTGAAATTAACTTGCTCATTTTGCAGTAACATACAAATTTTAACTTATTATTTAATTTGAAAAATGTGTAGGTCTACCCTGATTTTTATAGGCCTACCTGATAATGAAATAATAAAACACTTCCAGTGACCAAACGTGTTTCTATAATTTTTCGCTGTAAAATTATCAGTAATGTCCAAGTTGATAATTGTGTTTACTTCAAAATGAGCAAATCAATTTTGAAAAATATTTTATTTTGGTATTTTGCATAATATATCTTTAAGTATAATATATCTTTAAGTTCTTCAGTAACATCATTATAATTTACAAAATTCTAAAAAATTCTTTGAAGTTTACTATATTTTATTATACAAATTTAGTTTAATAAAGTTTAATAACCCAACATTATACACTAAATTATTATTGAATATTTTTTAACGGGAACAGTTGTTGGTAATATAGAAACATGGTATAGCACGGAGCTACTATATGTAATTTTCGGTATATCCATGGAGCTGGTAGGCTCATACCAGTGGGGGGGGGGCTAGTTCCCCTCCTCCACTTCCCAAAAAAACATAAAAGGAAATAATGAAGCATTATAGGAAGAAGGAAGCACGATTTAAATTGTGTCAGTCGCGACTATTGCCAAGCATTTCTAAACCTAAATCTCAAATACAAATACCCCTCCCACCCCGCCAAACCCCAGCTCGGAGCTTCGCACGCATGGCTCCTACCCATATTTTTCTCTGGATCAGCCTCTGAAAACAATAGTTAAGTGTCTAATGTTTTATTGGATTTTTGTTTTATTTCAGTTAACTCAACATCGAAAACGCCAATAACAGGGAGAATTCAATATAATAAAAAATCACTATAAAAACATTCAAAAACTAGGCCTAATGTTCGTTTATAGCCATGGAGCTTTAGTGTAACAAAGTGGGTTAATAATTAAAATGTCTAATGGTAAGTTAATAGTTAAATGTCCTGTTTCTAATCAGCAAAACTACAAAGCTATAACATGGTAGGTTATGTTTTATTTTACTATTCTGTTTCGCCAGACTTCCTGTCGCCGATCCCATCGACCCCCTTGGTACATATTATCCGGTCGTGAACTTTATCAGTTGTCAATAACTAGTACGTAAAATGGGTCTTATATCGTTCTTTTTGTTGACCGATTTCCGTGAACTGTTGACACAATAGTCTTGAAAGGTGTGCCATGCACTACACCCCTATTCATTCGGATGACATGGATGACACATGACAATACTCGTTAGAGAGTGTTGAGTAAAGGATGCATGGTTAGTTTCTTAGTGGGAGGGATTGGAAATTAAACGAAACAATACATGATGACATTATTGTCACTATTGTCTTGATTCTAAATAAGAATGGTAGATGAGTAGATTAACAATTATCACTCTATTGTCATTAACAATCTCTTAGATGGAGCAATTGATTGGCACGTGTCATTATTTTATCAAATATCTGACCAATCAGAGGCAGGTTATAGTCTGTCGTTTCTTATATAAAGCTGCAGAATTCCGATATAGTATAGTTATTGAAGACATTTCACGGATGAAACATCTTTTAAGTTACAGTAATTGTGTTAATCGATAAAATGGCTCTTTCTAAAACAAGTCTATCTTCTGGAACTCTAACGAACATCAATGAACAGGACTCATTTGGACTTACAGTGCCACTTTCTCCACCGTCTAGTGAGACGGGCAACGATGGATCTTCGCCTAACGCTAGTCCAGTCAAAGAAACCAAGCCCATATTTTCCTACATTGCTCTGATTGCTAAAGCAATCTTGAATTCATCGGAAAGCAGACTTCTTTTATCCGATATCTATCAGTATATTATGGATAACTATCCCTACTATCGGTAAGTTTCTGACTCTTTATATTCTCCCTTTCAAAATTAGAATATATATATATATATATATATATATAATATATATATATAATATATATATATATATATGTGTGTGTGTGTGTATATAGGCGAATATATATATATATATATATATATATAATTATAGGTTCATAATATTGAGATAATAAGTGGTAGTGTACATTATTTGAATGTGAGTAAAGCAAACAACAGTAGAAATTTATTATTTGATTGTATTAGCGTTACCATATGAATTGTAAATAGAGAAATAGCGCATGTGACGTCACCACGCACTTTTTACGTCACCACACACTCAAAAGGAAATGAAATTGATGTAACATGATATTCTTTGAACGTGTATGTATTATGAAATTTTACGATGCATTATATTTGAGACTAATTGCAAAAAATTCAGCTCTAAAATTAATTTTTCCTTAATACACGACATCTGGAATATTATATTATCTTTATTATTATTATTTTACGCTTTGTTATATTATTCCCATAATTTCATTTAAAATTGTTAAATTTAAATCTTGTTTGCTTACAGAAATAACGACAGGAGTTGGCGCAATAGTATACGCCATAACTTATCGCTTAATGAATGTTTTATAAAAAGTGGGCGAAGTAACGATGGGCGTGGCCACTTCTGGGCTATTCATCCAGCTAACGTTGAGGATTTCATGCGTGGAGACTATCGTCGACGTCGGGCACGCCTTCGAGTCAGGGCGACCATTACTGCAAAATCATACGAAACGTAAGTTTAAAAAAGTTTGAAAAAAACTATTGATTTAATTTAGTAGTTAATTCAGTGACTTTTAATTGTTGTTTAGGTCTAAAAATTGTAGCTAACCAAATTTCAATTTTAGAAATTTAAATTCATTCTTTAATGTCTTTGACTCCAGGGGATGTTTCAGGGGCTACCGTATGTCAGCAACTGAGTACCGTAACACGAACATGCACGCAACAACAATCTGTATAAATACAATTGTCCTTATTAATATCTCTGTATCTTTGCTTTTCAGACCTTACTATCCTTATAGTACACCAAATTGCGTGTATGGAGGAACAGGCTCTTACGTCACGATGAGTAGGAGTGTGTCATCCAATAGAGTACCATATACGACTTCTCCATATATGGCGCCTAATTCACTGTCACCATACGATATGATGCCTTATAATACTACTGTTTCTTCAGTTGACTCGGTAATGTCAATGCCTACTCCCTCATTGTTCACCCCATCATCTTCTTCACTTACTGGCAGTTCGTCAAATACAGTCTGCTCGACTATGACATCACAACATTCTCAACAAGCTTCAGAGATGGAAACAAGTATGCACGTCGCTTCTATAACGCCCCCATCAAGCCCTGAAAATCAAGCCAACGCCTATAAGACGTATTTCAACAGGGTAGCAACAGCGTTTAACTCAACGGATTCGATGATTGCAACCACATTGAATAATAATAGTCATCAAATGTTTTCTCTTGGGGCACCATACCCGACGTATACTGTGTAAACGTGTACACTTTCTTTTTTATTTATAAGAACATATTTTATAAGAACACTGAGGCAGAAATGTCTTGAAAATTAAGAACAATAAGAACAAATTGAGGCACAGCTGAGATAAAATTTCAAATGAGGTCTGTATTAAAAAAAAAAACTATAAAAACCAACAAATCTTATCTGTACCTTGTGCAGCAGGCGTGACTGTATTATCCTCTATAATACAGTACAATAATACTGCTGTACAATAATAATTGTTTATGTTTGAAAAATGTGTAAAATAAGATCAAAATCTGAACATTTTGAACCTGAAATGGGCAAAAGATAAGAACACTAAGCCTGAGCCTTTTACTGGTTCTTATAACAGAAAAGGTGTATTTTAACATAGTAGAATATTTCAATCAATAAAAGGAATGAACCTCATTGACTCGGGCTCGTTGTAATCTTATCTACAAATATTTTATGTACATAAAATGAATTTGAATGCTTTAAATAATATATTTTTAAAATTTAACAAATAAACATATTCTTTGTATATGCTTTCATTATGATATTTATCTTTATAGGTCTATTATTACTGTAATGATTCTAGTATTAATTATATAAAAGTAATTTAAGCATATTAAGATGTCCACAAAGCATACAAAATAAAAGAAATATAGACACGATCAACAAAATGATAGTGATAGTTATTCTGTAAATAAAAGTCAAAGTATGAAAATACCTTTATTGTCTAATTACAAAACTGTTGCTCTTCCGCTTATGTCTATGACGAAAACATGGTCAACTCATACCAAAATCACTGTCGCTACAGTGTGTTCAGTGCTGCATAGCAATCCCCTGGCGCAAAAAAACTCTCCGATTCGGCCGACCAATCAGAATCACCGAAAGTTGTCGGCAATAGCGTGTAGTGATTTAACTTGGCTCTCAAGATGTTAAAGCAACTACTCAATAAATTATCCTCAATTGTTCAAAGGGAAGTTAACCGAACAAGGGAAGTCATATGTAATTCGTTGTTGCAATATTTATATTTCGTATATCTTATGCGTTTGTTATTTGAACAATAATTATTTCTTTATAGGAGTGATTGTTTAATTTTCAACTGAAAGTATTTAACATAGTCTATTTCAGAAATTGAGATATGGGGTTTAAAAGGCAAGAATACCTAAAATTACCCATATAATTTAATCTAATCTAGCCTACGAAGT